CTGGAGACATGTCAGATTACTGTAGTTTGTTCAGTCAAACATTTTATGGCTTACTATTTAGCTATCTTACCATGACCGATGTAACATCGCAACCAAAAGAACTTGTCAAATTAACCAAACATTACTGTACCATGAATGCTTCTATCTCCAAAACTTCACAGAAAAAAATAACTCTTGCACGCCTTGCGTGCCTATGTTTAAATATATGCTGTTTTTAATCTTTGAAATGTTTTCAACTGCTTTGACTCCTTTTTGCTGTGGGCGGTTTGTGGATTGGCACCACATATATCTGTTCCGGAGTAGAAAATAGTGTGCTTAAGGCGCATAAACAGCTGCAACTCCCACATAATTCAACTTTCACGTCCTTCAAAACATTTTGTTGCATCTTTAACAAACTATAAGCATTTCCTCGTTTTTTCAGTCCCTCGATCGAGAGGCGAGCCGCAAGCGGGAGGAAAAATGACCGCGCGAAATCTTGAAAACAGCTTCGCTGCTGAATTTGAGTTCTTTTTTAGTGTCCTTCAACATTAACCATGTAGACAAAAGGGAAAAAATAATGGTACATAAATCGCTTTTTGATTATGTATTCAGTTCAACCCTCACAACGCAACAACTGGTGCTTTCGAGGCATGTTTTTAAAAGTTGCAACTCATTAATACTTAATAAAGGTGGTCTTTGTGTTTTAATTACGCTTTAAAATGACGACATGTGGAGATATCTTTTTGAGTTCGTTTTCAGCAGTTAATAACCTTTGAATGTTTTATACGGTTTTATTGGTGTTTTGAGGTTAGAATTTCTCTTTGGTTTTCTGAAAACACGAGAGACAAATAATCAAAACAATCGATCATTTGGCGCTAATATGGTGGTTGTACAAATGTCTTAAGTTCCACGTTATAATGTGAGGAGAAACACGATTTTAAAACGCGAAAAGCACTCAATTCCAGCGAAACGTATAAATTATGGATTCATTTGGCAAGCAAACACGAACACAGCTAATGAGGGTTTCTACAATTCCTTTTATCGTGTTGTCTTCCGTTGTCTTGTCCAAAATTTCTGGCGTGTCTTCACCCCAGTTTTGAAGTCTTGCTCCCCAGTAATGATTAAGCCTTATCTGATTTCTATCAGCGTCCTCTGATATGCCGTGTTTTAGGTCGTGATGATGAACGTGTGTTTCTCTTACCTGCCTTGTCTTGTAGATGGGTTTAACTAAAGTATTTGCAGGTCTGGGTGTTCTCCGCTTGAGTCGATCGATAAGTAGCGGATGTTCCTTATCACCTAGTGGTTTACCGAGAAAGAGGAAATTCTGCATGGTAATCTGCGAGACATCAGGTCGTTGTCTCGAAAAATTAGCGATAAAACGTTGCAAGAAATTAGGCTTGGTATCTTGAGTACAAAATGGATATTCATCTATATCAATGCTTGCTTGCCATTTGGATTCATTGCCCCAATTGTCCAAGCAATGCTGATACGCGCTTTCCTGAGTGCCAGTGACTGAGTAAGGATACGCGTTGTGACTCCAGTCAACATAGGTAACGAAGCCCTCCTTTATGAGGAATTCAAGAGCATTCTTTTGCGATTCGTTTTTGAAAACATAAGCGTCGTACACGTAAACGTGCTCAAAGCCAGCGTACTTCAAGTAGTAAAGCCACTGCATCAACTCTCTTGTGCTGAGCTTAGCAAGATCACTAGAGTAAATTCGCACAAGTAAAACAGCGCTTAGAAAATAGCGACCACCTGTATTTGCTTTGTTACACCAGCTGAGGCACTGTTGCATAGGTTCCAAGTTGGCGTTCTGATGGTTATCCATCTTTAACGTGGTTTGGTTAACCTTGCGTTTTCTTCTGACATTAGCGGACACAATGCTCTTCAGCGACTGCGCTTGTCCAAGTTCGACAATGTTATTTCCATGAAATTCACGCGTAAACGATTCACCCTCTTCGAGAAGAGACGTAATCAAAACGATAAAAACAGTTAAGGTAAACAACAACAGCAGCCTGAAATACTTTCGGCTGCAAAGAACCTTAATGAAACCATTAGTTTGCCATCTCATCTTACTTGTTTGATCCCTCGTCATTTGCAAAACAAAAGCGGAGTTCAGTTTATATGTTCGTGTAGATTCGGTCTAATTATATCTGAACTCCCTAGGCGGTCAGCAGGTGTGTCGGTTAAACGGCGCTCGATAACCTCTTAATAATTCATGTTGTTTTATCGCCGTCGTCACTTGTCACTGCGATGTATTCTCCGTTCGTTTATGCTGATTACACGCGTCATCATTTTCCTTTCAGCAAGGAACTGAATCGGCATAGTTTTTCAGTTCTTGCAGTTCTGCATGAGTCCTTCGAAGATTGCCAAAAGCGTGTTATTTTATGTCATGTTTAGGATCTGACAGGCGATATTCGTTTTGTGAATCTTGACAATTGTTTTGAGTGAATCGAAAGTTGACACAGCTTTCAAAAGTCCACGAAGTTCGTTTCTCCATGGTTAATAGAGGGGAATGGTTATGGAACTCGACAGAGTTCTTTGTTGTATGTTTTTGTTCTCTTTTTTGGCCCTGCCCGTGCACAAAACACAATAGTTGTTTTATACTACTGACACACGCTAAAATTATGGACTAGATTGTCCGATAATGCCAATACGATACTACTGACCGAGGAACTAACCAACAGAAACGTTTCGGTTACGTAATTCATACATAGTGTATGAGCGCAAAACAAAAGACTGTGCACGGTCGCGGTCCTTCCAACATAAATCTTGGCATCTTTGATGTTTGCCGGGCTTTATAACCATTCTCCTCAATTGACTATGGTTTCTCAATGTGGAGCACAGTAGAGGGGAATGGTTATGAAAGCCGGCGAACTTCAAAGGGCAAAACAATAGAGCAGTCTCCGATGTTGAACAGGTCTATCGTGTGACTGTAACTAACTATGATGTGGAGGCTCGTTTGGCTGTCGCGGTTACAAATGGCGGACTAAAAACGCACGTTACAATTTTTACATCTTGAAATAGGATCCACGTTTGTAATCCCAGCCGTCCAAATGTCCTGTATCTTTACCTCTGTGGTGTTTTTTTACTGCCTTAACAGGCCATTATCGTCAAGTGTAGGGTCCAGTTTTCTCCCTGTTTCTCCGATGCCTTTTACGTTACAGTTCCGTTGCCTTGGATGTTAAACGTAGCTCCATGTTTTAACTCAAAGGGAAGTTGATCTTTTGATCTCGCTGGCTCACAAGATTTTGACAGATGATTCGGTGTTGCCGATTGAAGGAGATTTCACGAGTGTAAAAAAACAAATGAAAAAAGAGTCAAGCGAGAACGACGGGGCAGGGGTGTGATGGGGAGGGGTGGGCACGTTTTTAAAGCTATACCGGTAACTCTTAAGGTATTTAAAAAAAACACTTGTCGGAAAGAATTGGCGTCTTAGAGGTGGATAATGGATTCGAACCTCGTTGCAAAGCGTAATTCTGGACGATCAGCCTTGTCAATTCTGATGGCAAGCCCCGGAAATTCAGTCTTGACAATATTATCTCCTTTGACCACATTATTCCAATGCACATGGTGAAGGAAGTGAGAGTGAACAGCTCATATACAACTATGCTTCGTGGTTCATGCTGCTGTGGTTTGCCGGTTTATGTTTGATGTTGAAAGATGGATGAAATAGTGACCTCTGTAGTCTTTTCTAGAACGCATTCATCCTTGGAACACAAAGAGTGTTTCTTCCCTTTCAGTCCTGAAGAATTGAGGGACCTACACTTTGTGGGCGTCTCGACCCCAAATCGCGCGCGGCCCTTTTTCCTCTTGTGCTTTCCCAGGTTTTCACTACATTCTTGATGTACTAATCAGAAAGTGCCTTCTCTTGTAGCTCTAGTAAGTGCTACAGACGTCACAGTGAATGCACAAGTTTAATCATACTGGACGTAAACACGAGAGAAACAAAAGTGATCGTGGGTGTGTGATGTGTGTGTGATTCTACTGAAAAGTAAACGAGACAAAATATTGAAGTACATAATATAATGACACAAAAAAACTGACAACGGAGCAAATAAACTTACAAAACTGTGGCGACTCGAGTTCTAGAATTTGTACGTCAGGGCTCACAACAGTGAAGCAGCTAAGGAGAGCGCGGTAGAAACCAGCAGATCGAACTTTCATTGCTAACAAGCACTGGCGAAAATGAAACACAAAACTAAGAATAATGAGGAACGCTTAAGTACTACAGAGTGGGTTGCATAATTCCCTGGGGTCACGGAGAAACGTGAAAAGAAAGTTCCAGTCGCTACATTCTCGTATTGTATAAAATGTTAGGTCAAATTCCACCATGGTACTCTATAACATTGCTTTCTTAATTTACAATTTTAGTTTACGACCATCTGGTAGATTTCAGTGAAAAAGAGGATGTTCTCTTTCTTGGTAAGTTCCAGTGCAATCTGTTCTTTTTATACCATCAGCAGCAGTGTATGATGACCCAACTGATAACTGTCTACAGTCGGAGAATATCAGTCCCGAGGGAGGGGGGTTGACTCTTAATATTTAACAATTAGACCCGTGGCCCTTGAGGGCGAAGGGTCTAATTGTTTTAGTCGGACAGAAAAGGCAATAATGAAGTTAGCAAATGCAAGTTGAAGAAATATTTATTTAGGAATAAAACGAAAGAAAGCGTCACGCTCGATTGCGCCAATTTCGCTACTCGAGGACTATTAGTAATAGTCCTCTAGTAGCGTAGCCAATTAATATGCAGGATTTACATCAGTCCACTAGTTGGCTGACACTAAAGCGTAATAACTATACTATCGTGAAGATGACTTGGAAAAGGAAAAAGCCAGAACGCATATTTACCTTAGAAGACTAACCAGAAAATGATAGTCTAGCTTTAAAAAAAATACCATATTGAGGCACTAAAGTTGTTCAAGGGCCTTGTGTCTTGGAAAAACGTTTAAACTAATCAAAATTTGGGCTACCCTAGACAATGCCCTTAATATCTTCGCGTCGGTCTCTTAGTGTTTTTTCTATGTGTTTCTTCTATTTCCTAGCGCCGTTTTTGACCAGATTACACGGTAACAAAATCCCCATGATAGTATAATGCATTTATAAGTTGTGACAGTTTGGAAATAGGCAGAGGGTTTTAAGAACCCGGCTGCATTCTACCCGCAAAAATTAACTCCTCCCCCCTCTCCGCTTACCCCTTTCCCACCCGAGCGACTATGAGTCGCTATCAGAGGTACTGATTTTAAGTGATGTTCTTTCTCAGGGTTTTTTCTTGGAGGAGAAACTCTGAGGCGCAGTCTTCATGATATTGTTCCACCTCAGCGAAAGAAAGCTTTCATGTCACAGTTGATCTCCACTGTTGTATCCAAACAGCCTCTGTTTTTGAAGGTAGGTACCTTTATCTTTATTAATGTCTTGTCCTTATTGATTTATATGAATTGTATGAAGCTAATTTGACGTGTTACAGTGGACGATTTCCTGCGATTTTCTTTGGTTTTTACTCTCTTTCTTGAACTCTACGAACTCACAACGTGACAGGCTCCCATTTGGCTTGATAGCTCAGTTGGTGGAGCACTGCACTGGTGTCGCAGAGGTCATGGGCTCGAATACCCGTTCAAGCCTGAATTTTTTTTCAGGTTTTAATTTCACAACTGCTTTTAAAAGTTGTCTGTATAACTGCGATGATCAATCATATCTTCGTATCTTTCTTCGCAGTTCAAATATATGATCTTTCATGTATTCACTTGTATGATGTTTTAATGGGCGGGTTTTTGTTGTCTATAGTACTGACTCAGCTAAAGCCCTTAGACAAATTCTCTTTTGCTGAAACTGAAAGGACAGTGTCCTAACTGTTTATCGAAAGTTTTCTTTCCTAATTTTCATCATATATTACCAAATGCAAACAAAGATACCAATGAATTGGATAAAGAAGATTCTACATGGCAAAAAAAAGTTATTATGTGAAGGAAGAAGTTCGGTGACAGGATTACAAGGATGGAAGTGGACTATAGTTCACTAAATTTAATTTTATGACAGGAAGTTTGTACCAAGAAATCAAACTTGTCATTCTGGTAAAATTTTGAATCTTTAAGTCTATTTTTGTTTCTTTGTAGTTGATATTTCTTTGCCTTTAATACTATTAAGTTTATAGCCATTCCGCTCATTAAAGCACGATACATTTAACAGGTTAAACTGCTCCTTTAACAAAGAGGATTTGTTTGTAGGTTTATGTGGCACTTGACTGGCGACTTGTCATGGTAAAGAAGTCCTTCTGTCTTCATTTTTTACCTGGACAGGACGTTGGGTAAGTCAGACNGGGGGGGGTACTCCCATATGAAAAGATCGGGGATGCGCATCGAAAAATTTGAATTAAACCCCTAAAGGAGACCAATGTATGTTGTATTGATTTCTGGACAATGTGTATAATCGTGTTCTTGTCAAAATCTGTCTTTTTGTTTATAGTTATGAGAGGTTTTACAATGCCAGCAGCGATCCTTTGGCTTTTTATCAGATTGTTTTCTCAAAGCAGGATGTGGTAAGTGGTAGGCAGAAAGTTGGAATCGACAGTGATTGTTTGTGGGAGGGGTGGGTGATGTGTATAGACAATAGTTTATACACATTACTTACTCCCGCGAGAAGATTGCGTGACGAGCTCAAAGAACGTCTACGTAACTGCGTAGGAGGCTAGTTGCTCGTAATCTCGCTTGAGATTTCGAAAGCGCTTTAATCAAACAATTCCTTATCTATTGCCTTATCATTTCCATTGATTTTGTTTACGAATTAGAGAGTTGGATCGGTGTTATTATAGCCAAATAACTCCCAGTGTGCTCAAGGGATAACTTTTCAACTTGAAAGGCGTATTTTCTCATGCTGGTAAAAGTGCTTTGTAGAGATTTCGAATCTTTAAGCCATCTCTGTTGGTTATTGCAGGCATTATCATACGCACGATGCTGTGGACCCCAGGACCTCACGGACCCCTGCAAAGGAGAGAACCTTGTGCTAAGTTTAGTTCACGTGGATCACTATATAGAGCGTGCTAAAGAGGAAGAGGACTTGATATCTGTTTACAGATGGCTGATGCTCAAGTCCCTTATGAGTCAGGTGAATTGAACTTGTACAATGGACGCTACTTTATCAGTTAGTGGATAGGTGGGGGCGGAGGGGGGAGAGAGAGAGGTAGCTAGGTGGGGTAGGGAGGGGCCGTTAGCTAGTTGGATCCCTCTCTGGGCGCTGGCCAATGTTTCCCCTTTCAGCGCGGTACCCTTCAACAATGGGTGCCGGCGAGTTGTAGTGGTAACAGGATTTTTGCAAAATTTAAAGAAATCCCAACTAAAGAAGTGTTTTGCTCTCACACTTGCCCAAATTGTATACGATTTTGACCCTCGCTTTCCATAACAACATATACTTCAGCGAAGAGCTACTCTTTTAATCACGTGTGTCGTTGTTTTTAGCTGAAGAAGTGTTCTGCTTTCAAGCTTGCCCAAATTGTGTATCATTTTCATCCTCGCTTACCATAACAACATATCCTTAAGCGAAGAGCTACTCTTTTAATTGTGTATTTCGTTGTTTTTATAGCACAAGTCCTACTTAGTAGAGGCATGGCGAATGTTTCACAGCGTGGCTTCTCAGCTGGAGTATCTGCGCACTTTAAATAAAACCTTGCAGAGCTTGGTCAATGAAGAACTCAGCAAAACATTCAGACCTCTGTTGGACGGTGACGAGAGAACGGTACGAGAAAAGAACTGATATTATAGTTGAATGAAATCTTTACTTGAAATAACCGAGATATTTATGTGATCGTAAAAGTATCATTCATGGTTTGACGCATACATTGTTTAATTTGTTTCATTTTAGTCCCTTCTTGACGTCGCTGCTTTAAATACCATGGCAACCGCGTATGGTGACAAACTGGAGCGGGTGTTGTCCCGCGGGACGGCCCTTACACCAAGTGGACTTTTGCCGCGTTTACGAGGTACTTATACACTTGCTCCTGTCTTTATCTCGATTGATTGATTAATTAATCAATATACCTAAGTGGATGTTTTTTTCAGTCCATTGTCAGAAGGGGTAATTCAATTTAACACTATTCTTTGTTGGGCATTCGTTTTCCGTTTCCTGTCAACCGACCCTTCGTCCTTCCGTCTGTCCGTTGTCAGTCAATCAGTTAGGCCGTCTAACTGTCCAACCGTCTATCCGTCCATCCGTTCGTCGGTCCGTCTGTCAGTTCGTCAGGCCCTCCTTCAGTCCATCTATGCGTCAGTTAGTAAACTAGTCAGTCCGTTAGGCCCTCCTACAGCCTGTACCCTATGCTCCCGTTCGTCCGCTCTTTCGTCTATCCATCAATTCGATCAGTCTGTCCGTCCGTCCGCCCGTCTGTCCGCTCGTCCGTCAGTAAGTCAGTCAGTCAGTCGGTCAATCAGTCAGTCAGTCAGTCAGTCAGTTGGTCGGAATGTGATTGCAACCTCCATCAATGTAAGGTACTCTCAGTGCGGTAACCCCAACCTTTTTGGCCGACTGTACTCGTTCCGTCTTATTTTGCAGAAAAATTTCGCCAGGTGACTTTAAGAGATCCGGTGTCTCGAACCTTAAGTTTGGTTATCTCGTCAAAGGTAAGTCTATAATGTAATGCGTGCACATTTTCAATCCACTGTTTGGCTTAAGATACAATGAAACTTCTCTTTTAAGAACTTAGTGGTTCTAGAACCTACTGGCAGAAATTTTCCATTTGAATACCCAAAAAAATTTAAGGACCTGTTTAGGCAAACAAGATCAAACAGGTTCTTATATGTTAGTACAGTTAAATTTTGATAAATATTTTACCCAAGGAGCGTGACTTTGAGGTTGCAAATTTTTTACAAGAAAATACATAATACAGTTGTGACTGAATACTGTATATATAAGGACCAAACCCAAGTTTATTTATTTTTCTGGTAATCAACAACCCTAATCTCTTTCATAGAAATTAAGAACCTGCTTAGCCTAAATTGTCAATAGCTACTCCAAAATACAAGGACCTATTTTGCCAGACTTCAAAAAAAGTAGGTTCTTCCACGCGCGGGTTTTTATTGTATTGCATACAGCTCGTGACTGATTTGTTCGGTCTGTTTTTAGACACCAATCATTCTACAAGAGATCAATGAAATGCTACAGCCTTTAATGGATGCCGCTGCCCATAATGTTCACTTGGCATGTCCCGAGATCCAACGCGCGCTGAAGTCTGTGGAAGTCGACGTGTCGGGCCGAAAATCCAGCTCGCTGGCTGAAAGCAGAAGTTAACAAACTGTTTTTCAGCGCAGAGCTTAACTTCGACTTCCATTCCCTTACAAATTGTCACGCAAGACTGCTCACATTGTGTATTAAGGAATGAAGCGATGCATAATAACTCATGTAACAGCAGAATGTTGTTCTGTACAAATGTCCAACAAGTCCTTGCTATGAGCAGCTATGAGACAATAGCCAACCTCGTTCCTTAATATACAAGGGGACTCTGTTAGTATCTTGGTTATTGCCATGCTTCCTTTCGTGTAAATACCGTCGGCTTTCAAAGACCTGAAGGTCAGGAAGATAATAATAAATATGTTATCACTAGACAAAATAATTGGGCTCTTACAAAGTGAAATGTACGATTTGCTTCACAATAACGTAATACAAACATAAGATAAGCTACTTTGACTTAAATTATTTTCTACACGTAACACTTCGTGCAATTTTCGAAGCATTCTCATACATTTCTTATAAATGGCTAAACTTGTAACGCAATCGCCAACAGCCTAATGCCACGTATTAATCGTAGTTATGAGAAATGTTTCCCTCTAGATGGTCAAACCAGGCAGGCAAAATCATCCTCACAGCGGGTCAATTTGCCCGATGTCTGGCCCTTAATAAAAGCCTTGAAACATAAACTGCCCTGAAATTACATTTTTATCATTTAAACAGTGGAACAATTAAATAATATTAATTAAGTGAGTCTTTATGAGGGCCGTGTCGTTGCCGAAGTCAATCTTTTTCTTTCAAGTAATTATCGTGTTTATATCATTACCATTATCGAGAGCTGACTGTTAACGGGCTAACCCGACCTGGCTACGCAGAGTACAAACTGACCCGTGACTTACAGATTCAGTCAAAAAAAATTATGATAGCGAATTTTGGGTTTGAGATTGACCACAAGAGCTGGCAGAAATTAACTGTATCAGGTTTCTTGATATCCACCCAATAGCTATTTGAGCGGTCAGTGTAAAACACAGACTGCAGACCGGGAGTGAAATTCAGACTGAGGATAAACTGCAGACTGCAGACCAGGGGTAAAATGCAGACTGCAGACTACAGACTTTTTTGAGTAAATATCGTGTTATTTCCATTATCGAGTTCTGACCGAAAACAGGATTGCTTAGGCTAACCGCCGTTTAGCCTAGAATACGCTCTAGTTAGCCTGTTTATGGTTAGCTTTCAATGATGGAAATGGTAACACGATTCAGTTAAAAAGTCTACAGTATATGCACTCCACCCTGGTCTGCAGTCTCCATTTCACCCTCAGTCTGCATTTGACCCTCTTGTCTGCACTCTGCAGTCTTCGTTTTACACTGACCGCCATTTAAGAGCAAAAACAACTGAAAAAGGAAAATCGATTTTCCAGCTTCAACACAATGCTTAAACAATAACAAACAGTTTCTGGTCGTTCTCGGCCCATTACTCCACCCCCGTTCTCCCCTCCCAACCGGGATTCTGGATACAATTCAAGTTTCTTGTCGTTTACGATCGAAGATACAATTTTGCAATGTTATCCTGCCGCTGGCAAATCGAAAACTGATTTTCGTTTTTATTTCGTGCAAGTTGGTTCTACTTGAACTGTTCCCTTTGTTTTTGAAACTCGTAGCCGCAGACATGGGTCAAGTGTCTTGCTTTTTTGCTCGCCAAACTAACATAGTTGTCCAAACAATTCCTGGAAAAACAGGAACAAGAATGTCAATTCTGACGTTAATTGGCCGTGCTATTTTTGTGTTCTTAGTCGGCATTCTTTGAAATATCGCAACTGATTAGAAAACGCTTTACTCGTCATAAATTTACACTTTTAGCCTTCATAGTTATTGAGAAAGCTAACCGATGTCGATCCAGTGATTTGCAAGATAAGCGGACCGCTACGCAGGAAAACTCAACAAAGAATTTCTCGCTTGGCTGATTCGAAGTTTCACGTGGCAGCGGCCCCTACACGTTTAAAGGCGGAGCATTATGAGCAAAACAGAAACTTCAGAGAGGTGTGTCAACCCCTCCAGTCTGTCCGTGATCTGAATTTTTAATGTGCTCTGTAAAATA